ATCAGCATACTACAGTGCTGCAACCACATCAATGTTTATAGTAGGTCAATTCACAACAGCTAAACTGTAGAACAAACTCAGGTGTCCTTTGACAGATAAATGGATAAAGCAAATGTGGCATAATCTATATACTGGAATATCATACAGCTGTAAAGAAAATGAGATTATGGCATTTGCTGTTAAATGAATGGAACTAGAGACTATCATACTAAGTGAAATAACCCAATCCAAAAAAAACCCACAAAGGCCAAATGTTCTCTCTGATATGCAGATGCTAACACCCAATAAGGGGAGTGGGATAGAAATCCACTGGATTAGACAAAGGAGAATGAGGGGAAGGGAGGGGAGGTGGGCATAGGACAGACAATAGAATAAATTGAACATAATTTTCCTATATTTATTTATTAATAAATGAACAATGAAACTCCACATCATGTATAACCACAAGAACGGTATCCTAATTAGAACCAATTATACTCCATGTATGTGTGATATGTCAAAATATGTTCTACTGTCGTATATATCTAAAAAGAACAAATAAAAAATAAATTTTAAAAAAGGAATAGAATGGACATAGATCAGACAGGACATTCAAGGGAATTCAAACAAAGCTTTCAACTGAAAAAATAAATATGCATTATATCAAAGTTTGTGGGACATGGCAGTAGTAAGAGACACATTTATGTATTTTAGTAAAAACATTGCTAAGAGGGACATTTATAAGACTAAATTGTTATACCAGAAAAGTTAAGTGTCCCAACAGTATAATCTTAGTTCTCACCAAAGGAGTCAAGAAAAAAAGGAAAATAAACCCAAATCAATGAAAGGAAAAATTAATAAATAATAAGTGCAGAAATCAATGAAATTGAAAACAGAAAATTATGGAGAAAATCAAATAAAAAGCTGATGCTCTAAAATATAAAACAATAAAATGACAAGACACCAGCAAGACAAATGAAAAAGAAAGAAGACACAAATTACCAGTGTCAGTCAGGAATGAAACAGGGGCTATCACTACATCCTTGCAGACACAGAAATATAGGAGAACATTATGATCACATATAAATTTGAAAACTTGAATGGAATGGACCATTTCCTTGAATAGCATAAAAAATCTTTGTATCATTTAATATGAAATAGGTAATTTGAATAGTTCTGCAATTAACATGGAAACTGAATATGTAATTTTAAAGCTCCAGCCCCCAATTGTTGCACTAGACATTTTATCAAACATTTAAAGAACTGACACCAAAAAACAACACAATCTCCTAAAAAAAAATCTATACAATCTCCTCCAGAAACCAATTTCTTTTATGAACTAGTATCATGCTGACACAAAAAATCCCAATGGATAGTATTAAAAAATTTTCAAATCACTACTCCTCAAAAATATGAACGCAAAATTTTTAACAAAATAGTATCAAATAGAATATAGCAATATCTGAAAAGAATTGTACATCATGACCAAGTGGGTTTCTTTAAGAGATATAGGCTTGCTCAGTATTTGAAAATCAATCTGTGTAATCCACCATGTGTACATGAAAAAGAATAAAAAATTTATCAACTATCTATCAACTGCAGAAAAGGCATTTGATCAAATTCAATACATATTTATGATAAAAATAAATAAATAAAAACATTCAAAAAATACCTAGGAATATGGCTGGGGGTATAGCTCAGTGGTAGAGCACCTGCCTTGCATTCATGAGGCCCTGGATTCCATACCCAGTACAAAAAAAAAAAAAATGGCTAAGAACAGAGGGAACCTCCTAAAACTGATAAACTACAAAAATCTATAGCCACTCAAGCTAAATCAGTGAGGAAAAACTGAATTCTCTCCCCCTAAGATTCAGCACAAGGGAATGATATTCACTCTTATTCAACATGGTACTGTAATTCCACTGTATGGATGTGCCACATTTTTAAATACATTCATTAGTTGATGGACATTAGGATTATTTCTACTTTTGGCCCACTATGGATAATACTACTACAGCTACTGAATTAGGCAAGAAAGGTAAATAAAATCATATAGATTTAAATGGAAGAAATAAAATGTCCTTATTTGCAGATGGCATGATTATCCATATACAAGATATTATCTATATGAAAGATATAGATAATCCCAAAAATCTATGCCCCAAATCCTAAAACCTGTAAGGATATGAGATAAATACATAAAAATCTATTTTATTTCTATATATCAGCAATGACCCATAGACACTAGAATTTAGAAAATAATACCATTAATGATCATTCAGAAATTTTCTAATATTAAAGTGTAATCTAAGAGAATGAGTATAGATTTGTACTTTGAAAACTACATCACAAGAATGAAAGAAGTCAAAGATTTAAATAAATATAGAGACATACCATGTTTATTAATTGAAAGAGTCAACATACTAAGAACATGAATTCTCCCCAAATTAATCCAAAGATTCAATGTCACTTCTCTCACAAGTCCTACAAGATTTTTGAATATATAGACAAGATTATTGTACAACTTATGTGGAAAGGCAAAGGAACTAGAATAGCTACATCAATTTTGAAAAAGTATAAGTAACTCTACTCATCTTGAGGATGATTATTTAGCTCTATTAATCAACACTCTGGTCTTAATGGAGTGATACACAATGGACAGAAGAGATCAGTGGAACAGAATACTTTTTTTTTCTTTTTCTTTTTTTTAATTTGTTTTAATTAGTTACACATGACAGTACAATGATCTTGACATATCATACACTTGAATCAGATGGGAACAGAATACTTAACCTAGAAGTAGACTCACACAAATATGCTCTACTGATTTCTTAAAAGGTGCAAATGTAATTCAAAGGAGGAAGGATCACTTTTTCAATAAACTATGTTAGTGTAATTGGACACAAGCAAAATAAATAAATATATAAATAGTCTTATTCTAAACCTCATACACACAAAACAAATTGTTCAAAATGTGTCATAGTGGGAATTAAACTTAAGACATAAAACTATAAAACTTTGGCTGGGGATATGGCTCAAGTGGTAGCGCGCTCGCCTGGCATTCGTGGGGCCCGGGTTCGATCCTCAGCACCACATACAAAGATGCTGTGTCCGCCGAGAACTAAAAAATAAATATTAAAAATTCTCTCTCTCCCTCTCACTCTCTCTAAAAAAAAAAAACTATAAAACTTTTATTTAAAAAAAAAGAAAGTTGTTGTTATCAAGAATGAGGTACAAAATTCTTAGACTTACCATCACAAGCAAGATCTGCCAAAGTAAAAATTGATAAAATTGAACTTCACCACAATTAAATTTTTGTTCTTCAAAGACTGAAAAGAGGGTAAAAATACAATCTTCAGATTGAGTGATAAGAATTACAACTCATATACTAGACAAAGGAATGGCACTTAGAATAAAGAGCTCTCAGAGCTCAGTATTTTTAGAAAAGTGCAATTAGAAAACAATTAAAAGATAGAAACAAATATTTTACCAAACAAGATACACAGATAGCAACATCACTACATTTTCATCAAAATGGCTAAATAAAAAATGATGACAACATCAAATGGGTGCAGACAAAGGAGATCAATCAGAGTTTTCAATCATTCCCTGGCAGGAATGCACAATTGTAACAGTAACTATGGAAAACAGTTTGGCAGTTTCTAAAAATTTAAATATCCACCTACCATATAAACCATCATCAACTGCATTCAAAAATTTATCCTAGAGATATGAAAATCAAAAAAACCTGCACATTAATGTTTATAGAAGCTTCATCTGTAATATCCTAAAATTGGAAAAAAATCCAGAAGTCTTTCAATGAATGAATGATTAGACTGTGCTATATCCATACCATGGAATATTGCTGAGTAATAAAAAGGAACAAATTGTTAACATGCACAAATTGTGAGAATTTTGCTGAGTAAAAGAAGCCAATCTCAAAAGATTTCATACCATATGATTTCATATATATAATATTCTTGAAATGCTATAATTCTAGAAATGAAGAACAGTTTTGTGTTTGCTAGGGTTAAAGCAAAATCTTGAAGCAGGACATTCTGAGGGATCCTTGTGGTGACAGAAACATTCTGTATCTTGACCATACCCCATACAAATATCCTGGTTGAGATGCTGTCATTTGGCGAGATATTACTACCATTAAGGTAAATGGTAAAGGGTTTATGAGATCGTTCTCTATTATTTTTTACAACTACATGTGAATTACAATCATTTAAAATGAAAATTTTAACATAAAAATTGGAAAATCCTTCTAAATATGAAATCAAACACAGAAACCACCAAGGAAAAAGTTGATAGAGTTGACTTCCTAAAATATAAAACAAAACAAAACAAAAAGTCTGCTTGGCAAGTATCATATAAGAATAGAGAAACAAAAACCTGGAAGTAAGTTTTGGCAACAATTACAATTACAAACAATTACAAACTACCTACCTAATATAAATTTCCATTTTAAAACTTCATGAGAATTTCTATTTTGATTGGGATAATGTTATGGTTTGAATATGGTTTGTTCCCTCTGAAACTCAAGTTGAAATTTAATCCCCATTGTCAAGTATTAAGAGGGTGAAAACTTAATCCACTTATAGAATTTAGAGGTGGGACCTTGAAGAGACAACTAGCATTATATAAGGTCATCAACATGGCACCCCATCATTGAATAGGGGTAGCTTCAAAAGAAGAAGAAGAGAGACCAGGACACACAAGCATGTTCCTTGTCACTTGCCACTTAATACCTCCACTGCCTTTGGACTCTGCCAGCAAGAAGGTCATCATCAGATGCTGGCAGCCCCTTGACCTTGGACCAAAACTGTGAATTAAAATAAACCTCTTTTCTTTTTATAATTAAACCAGCCAGTGTTATTGTGTTATTGCAACAGAAAACAGACTATGTAATTTCCCCGACTTCTTTGCATATAGAGGTGGGCATAAGACAAAATCTGGCTCATAAAATATACCTCCATCTTGGAAAGACCCTCTCTTATTAAAATATGAAGTCTTACAGGAAAGGTCCTTCTGCTTTCTTTCCAACTGGAACTTGTCCTCCATGGAGGACCCTGGCCATCTTGTGAGTGGACAAAAGCCACTGGTCAAGATCTAACATGTTCACATCAGGATAGTTGATCTTCCTCAGTCTGCAGAAGAGAAAGAGACCATCCTGAAGTTGTTTCAGTAATCCTGCTGGAGTTGTCTTAGCTCTGGGAAGAAGGAAAGGAAAATCATCAATGAAACATGATGAAATGCAGTAACCAGGCACAAAAGCTATTCCAATTATACTGTGAGCAGAGGTAGCATAGCCTGGTCTCTCCAGACCACAGAGCCACATGAGAGCAAATGCACGACCGTCTCAAACGTGACAGCCAGCCCTGGCTTTTCCCTGACAGCCTCTCCAGGCAATCTGATGCACACACTCTTGACTTCTATTTCTTTCTTGACTTTAACATACCTGGTACATTTCTATATTTTATTACATATAAGCACAGTCTATATATAATGACAAGATTTAAAATATTATATGCATTCCAGGCACCATGGCACATGCTTGTAATCCCAGTGACTGAGGACACTATGGCAGGAGGATCCCAAGTTCAAGGCTAGCCTTGGCAACTTAGTGTGGCCTGTTTCAAATTAAAAAATAAAAAAGGGCTTGGGAGTAGCTCTGTGGTAAAACAGTCCTGGATACAATCCCTAGTATTGAAAAAAAAAGGAAAAAAGAACAGTTTTAAGAAATAATTTTTTTTTTAAATTATTCTCAATCACTCCTTATTCTCTTCTGCTTTGGTTGCCAACTTAATGTAATGGATATCATTATACAAAGGACATGTATGAAGACTTGAATTGGGTGTCAACATACTTTATATACAAACGGAGATACAAAAATTGTGGTATATATGTGTATTAAGAATTGTAATGCAAAAAAACAACAACAAAGTACATGTATAAAGGCATAAATTGGCGTGAATATACTTTATATACAGAGATATGAAAAATTGTGTCTAAATGTGTTATAAGAATTATAAGGCTTTCCACTGCTGTCGTGTAGTTTAAAAATAAAAAATAATAAAATTAAATTAAAATAATAATAAATTTAATTGACCCTCCACGTTCCTTAGCTTGTCTTGGGCTGGTCAAGTGTCTACTCTATCTTGAGGATCCCTAGCACATTTCCCAGGTTTGAAACCTCTGAGGTTTTTTGTTTTGTTTTTTCCTGTGATACTAATGGCTCTGGAAAAAGAAATATACATGTGTGTGTTTTCTGTGTTTTATTTTCTGTTTCTCTCCTGTCTGTGTTCTTTCTTATCCTCTTAACACCTATGTAACAATCAGCTTTTCTTTAATTTTCCTGTTTATCGTCAGGGTCCTCTCGAAAAAGACCATAGTCTGTAGCGGGTAGCTCTGCCCTAGACCCACTGCTGGTCCTGTCCCTGCTCTCCCAGCACCCTGAGCTCTGATCTCCGCAGAGCCTCCCACGTGGCATGGAGAAGGCTGGTTACTCATTCACACACACACCACCCGCAGTCCATTTTCATGTTCGTGATAAAGAGATTTGACATTTCTAAAATCATAGCTAATAACAGAAACTCAATTATTTTTCATTCAATAGGACATAATAGACTTTTTAAATGGAAAAGTGAAAAGGCATATGTATAGATTTAAACCTGGAAATAAATTAGATATATCTGGGGCTGGAGCTGGAACTCCAGAGTGGCAGAGTGCTTGCCTAGCATGTATGGGGCACTTAGTTCAATTCGTAGCACCACATAAAAATAAATAAAATAAAGGCATGTTGTCCATCTTCAACTACAAAAAATAAAGAGAGAGAGAGAGAGAGGAATGGATGGATGGATCGGATATATTATTTTAAAAAGAGAACTAACCTGATAAAGTACATTCAGAAATTTTTCAGCAGGGTCAAAATAAAGTGTTTCCCCTGAACTATTTTCTGGTAAAATTTCTGAACACTTTGTATTTCAAATAGTCTCTTTGTTTTGGCATAGCAAAAGAAATACCAGGCAATAGCAGATCTCTTTCTGAAGTGGGCTGAGTCCCAAAGGGTCACTTTCAGATTTTAAGAAACAGGCTTAAGTATAATTTAGATATTTTCAATCCTTGTTATTAATACCATAATATTTCCTTCCTCCTTTAATTATCTGATTTTACTATATTGTAATCCTAGATGATTTTTATAAAATGAAAGCTAACATATAGTCATACATATGCTTTCTTCATCATTCCTGTGAATTTCTACTCTCTTTGGAATTTAAGGTAAACTATGTTAAACATGATTCACATTAAAGAATTCACTTATAGTTAACTCTTTAGAAAAGTTAAAAAGTCAAAATAAGAAATACCTATAAATAAAAATAAATCTACAGCATTAGTGTGAACTACTGATTTAAAAACAAGTCTATTTAAATGGAAGAGTCAATGCCAGCTCCAAGAATTAGACACACATATAATAACCCCATCATATCTTATCTAAAATCCATGTGGCCATATGTATTTCAAAATTCAGGATGTAAGAAAGGTAACAGTCCATCTGCTGCATATTATATAACTCACAAACAGAGTCTAGCACAGTCCTTATAATCAAACACTTCAGTATTTTTGAGATGAAAGCCACAAATATTCATGCTCAATATAGTAAATAAAAATATAAATATAATTACATCTGTTCAAGTCAGGTTTTCTGCCAATCTTTTTCAGGTCAGCTTAAGTTTTATCAAATAAAGTAGAGGAGCTGGAGTTGTGGCTCATGGGGCCAGAGTTGTGGTTCAGTGGCAGAGCGCTTGCCTAGCATGCATGAAGCACTGAGTTCAATCACTGACACCACATAAAAATAAACAAATAAAATAAATGTATTGTGTCCATCTACAACTAAAAAAAAAAAAAGTAGGGAGAGAAATTAGTTTTCTAAGCTCTTTGTGTTTCAGAATTGTGGCCTTAGGGATTATTGACCCAATACATTGCCACAAACAATAATTTTGTCTTCAAACTCTTCATGTAATTAACTTACTTAGTAATTCTATATTTTATATTATTTTTATAGGATATATTATGTATTGTGAGTTTAAAGGTATTATTTTGGTACCTGTTTTCTTGCTTGCTTGATTTTAGAGATCTTCAAGGAGAGAATACTACATTCTTCACACTTCATTCGAATCACACACTACATTCAAATCACACTTTCAGTCTGGCTATATAAAGTAACCTTGCTAAAGAAATAATCATTCTTGATCTTAAACAACTTGTGATGTTTTGTAAGTAGGTATTTTTACCAGATTAAAATTTTGTTAAGTAGGTAAAAATCAGCAAAAGGCAGACTCAAGTTTACAATCTGTAACACAAAGAAGTAGCCATAATTCAGGGATGATTTAGCAACTCCCCTATTATTTGTTTTAGAGAAGAGGGGTTCCATACCCCCATATTCACCATTCTCAAGTTGGACATGACCACAACTATAATTATCACCAGCTCTCCTAAGATGTATTGACTCTTCCAACATAAATGAATTTTTAAATTCCCTTTCTTTCTTTAAGGTTGTGATGCATGCACCTCATTTTATTTTTGTTAGCATTATATTTATAGCTTATTCATCATGGTAGATACGTGTTATAAATATTTCAGATTCTGACATTTAAAAAACAGTGTTGTTTTCAAGTAGAATGACTCAGGGCTTGAACAGGAGAATAAGCTAAAAATATGAATCCAGAGAGTTTTCTCTCCTTCTAGAATAAAGGTTGCCAAAAACTTTTGGAAAATAACCTTCCGTTGCTTTAAAATTATCAGAAATAAGGCTAAGACTAGTATGGTTTTGAAAAATTATTTATTCAATACAACAAATTTCTAACAATGTTATCACCACTTGAGAGATTGAATTTTATGACATACTTACAGAAAGTACAATTTCAAGTTAGCAGAGAATATAGAATTCGCCCCTTCACTGCACCGATAAGAGAACAGCAGAATAATGAAGATGGAGAACTCTCCTCAGGAACAAAGGTGAGATCACCAACTCTGGGACTAGGGCTCTCTGTGTGCCATGTTTGATCTTCTATTACCTTAGGTATGTTCACCTTACATTCCCATTAGAACCACTGCAATCTGATCCTGAGAACTGTATATTATTCTTCCTTGTCATTTCTCCTACAACACCCCGTATGCAATAGATTCTTATTCTTTATGTGTGGAGCTATAATTATTCCAATTAGATCCTGAGATGACCACTAATCAGTCTTTCATTAGGATTTTAACCTATGATATTCAAGATTTTGCTGTAATTTTCCAGTCATGTGCATGAACTTTTCAAAGACTCTCAATCCTGGCAAAGACTACCAGCTGCATGTCCTTAGGCACAATGATATGAAAATAAGAACTCAATGAATAGATAACAACACTTATGTCAAGAGAAAATTATTGATTTTACTCTCACATTATACCTTTCCAATGAGGTGATAAGATCAAGTACTTAGACAATTTTGGGAAATCTATTCAATATAAAACCTCAAATGTAAGGCAAAACTTATTCTAGAAAAAGAGATAGGGGTGGAGAGTCCCTTTTGCTGTATTTGATATAAACGCCACACTTAACTCTAAGTGCAGGATATTATTTTCAGACTTGCTACCACAATATTGTGTTCTATAAGAAAGAAAGGATGGAGAATAATTCATTTAAGCCTTCTAACTCCATGTTTGTAACATGAGGACAATCCCTGCAACTAGTTTGAAATGATCATGATGTCACCATTAAGAATTCACTGGGCCTTGAAATGCCAGAAACAACATATCCTGTGTTTTTTTTTCTATTTTCCAGTCCCAAGTTTAGCTTAATATTGAATGCCAGAAATATGAGTGTTACTAAGCATTCTTCCTTGCCTGTGGACAGAGAAGTAGATCTTGAACTGTGACAACATCTAAGAAAGAAAACATTACCTTCTAGAATGACACATCATTCCACAAACTACTTCACCATTTTAAGTAAAGAACTCTTGTCATTATTTTTTAAAAATCTTTTTATTTTGATAAAATTTCAAATACACAGAAAAGTTATACAAATAAGTAGGACATGGAACTTCCATATATCCTTTGCCCAGGGTAATTGTTTCTGTATTTCCCCATTTGTTATCTTTTATTCTTTCAGCCTCTTGTAAGTTGCAGACATCACTTCCCTTTCTCTCTTAACTCTTGATTCTGAATT